TCAATTCTTTGGTTTGAAAAGTTGAAAAATCGAAAAACTGAAAAATTACAAAATTGAAGAAGTGGAAAATCGAAAAATTTGCAAATCCAAGAATTGAAAAATTGAAAAACTAAGAACTAGAAACATAAAAATCAAAATTTAATGAATGGAAAATGGGAAACAAAAAACAAATCGAATCGAAAAATTGGAAAGAACTCGAAAAATTTAAACCTGACACCTTTTTTTTGACTTCTTGATTTTTCATTTATTTTCGATTATTCAATTTTTTGACATTTCAAACTTCGATTTTTTAAATTTTAGGTATTTGATGGTTCAGTTGTTTGATTTTTTATTTTTCAATTTTTAAAATTTTTAAACTTTTTGGTGTTTCGATTTGTTCGATTTTTCGAGTTTTCGGTTTTTGGATTTTTCTGTTTTCTATTTTTAAAATTTTTGATTTATCGATTTTTCATGTTTCGGCTTTTTAAATTTTTTGCTTGTTTAATTTTTCGATTTTTCAATTTTTAGATTTCTGGATTTATTGAGATTTCGATGTGCTGATTTTTCGACATTTTAATTTTCGATTTTTCGATTTTCCATTTTTCTGTTTCAGTTTTTAGAATTTGTAAATTTTAGATTTTTCAATTTTTTTGATATCTTGACTTCTTGATTTTTCGATTTTTCAAATTTTAGATTTTTGATTTTTTCACCATTTTAATTTTTTGATTTTTCAATTTATCCATTTTTTGGAGTTTCGAGATTTCGATGTTTTGATTTTTCAACTGTTCAATTTCCCGATTTTTCCGACTTTTGAACTTTTGGATTTTTTGACTTCGATATTTTGATTTATCAATTTTTCTATACTTCAATTTTTCGATTAATGAATAATTTTCTGAAACTTCAGTTTTCGGACGTTTTTAATATTTCGATTCTCAAACTTTTCTATTCCATTTTTCAGTTTTTTCGATTATTCAGTTTTTTGACATTTTAATGTTTGATTTTTTAAATTTTAGGTTTTTCGATGTTTCAGTTCTTCGATTTTTTATTTTTCAATTTTTAGAATTTTTCAATTTTTTGGTGTTTCGTTTTTTCTATCTTTCGATTTTTCGAGTTCTCGGTTTTTGGATTTTTCGGTTTTTCAATTTTTTCATTTTTAAAATTTTTTGCTTTTTTAATTTTTCGATTTTTCAATTTTTTGAAATTTCGATGTGCTGATTTTTCGACTCTAGTTTTTCGACATTTTACTTTTCGATTTTCCAAATTTTAGATTTTTCGATTCTGTTTTAGTTTTTAGAATTTCAAAATTATACATTTTTCAATTTTTTGATATCTCCATTTGACCATTTGATTTCTCAAATTTTCGGTTTTTAATTTTTTCACTATTTTAATTTTTAGATTTTTCAATTTATCCATTTTTTGGATATATCGAGATTTTGATGTTTTGATTTGTCAATTGATTTTCTCGATTTCTGTTTTTCAATTTATAGAATTATTTAATTTATTTTTTTTTTCAATTTTCTGATGTTTCGGTTTCTCTCGATCTTTTGATTTTTCAGCTTCTGAATTTTCGATATTTCAGTTTTGGAATTGTTCAACATTTCGACTCTTCATTGTTTCGACCTTGCGTTTCGATTTGTCGATTTTTCAATTTTTAGAATTTTTAAATTTTAGGTTTTTCGATGTTTCAGTTCTTCGATTTTTTATTTTTCAATTTTTAGACTTTTAAAATTTTTGGTGTTTCGATTTTTCGAGTTCTCGGTTTTTGGATTTTTCGGTTTTTCAATTTTTCCATTTTCAAAATTTTTGGTCTATGGTTTTTTCTAGTTTTGGCTTTTAAAATTTTTTGCTTTTTCATTTTTTTTAATTCTGGATTTAACGTGATTTCGATGTCCTGGTTTTTCGACTTTCCAGTTTTTCGACATTTTAATTTTCGATTTTCTAAATTTTAGATTTTTCGATTTTTCAGTTTTTGTTATCTCGATTTCTTGATCTTATGATTTTTCAAATTTTCACTAGTTTAATTTTTGGTTTTTTGGATTTAGAGAGATTTCGATGTTTTGATTTTTCAACTGTAATTTTTCGATTTTTCGACTTTTGAATTGTTCGATTTTTTGACTTCGATATTTTTCGATTTATCAACGTATCAATTTTCCGAAATCTCGGTTTTTTGGATTTTTCAATTTTAAAATTTTTGATTTATGGATTTTTCATGTTTGGGCTGTTCAATTTCCCGATTTTTCCGACTTTTGAATTTTTCGATTTTTTGACGTCGATATTTTGATTTTTCAATTTTTCTATACATACTTCAATTTTTCAATTAATGAATAATTTTCTGAAATTTCAGTCTTCGGACTTTTTTAATATTTCGATTCTCAAACTTTCTATTCCATTTTTCACTTTTTTTCGATTATTCAGTTTTTTGACATTTTAATATTTGATTTTTTAAATTTTAGGTTTTTCGATGTTTCAGTTTTTCGATTTTTTATTTTTCAATTTTTAGAATTTTTCAATTTTTTGGATTTTTCGGTTTTTCAATTTTTTCATTTTTAAAGTTTTTGATTTATGGATTTTTCGCTTTGTAAAATTTTTTGCTTTCTTAATTTTTCTTTTTTCAATTTTTTGAAATTTCGATGTGCTGATTTTTCGACTCTGATTTTTCGACATTTTAATTTTCCATTTTCCAAATTTTTGATTTTTCGATTTTCCAGTTCTTCGATTTATTTTTCTGTTTTAGTTTTTAGAATTTTAAAATTTTAGATTTTTCAATTTTTTGATTTTTCAAATTTTCGGTTTTTAATTTTTTCATTATTTTAATTTTTCGATTTTTCTGTCCTTCAATTTTTCGATTTATCAATGTATCAATTTCCCGAAATTTTAGTTTTGGGCCTTTTTCAATTTTTCGATTTTCACATTTTTCTATTTCTCCTTTGATTTTTGGTTTTCTTGATTTCTTGATTTTTTAATTTTTTCGATTAATTCAGTTTTTTGACATTTTACATTTTTTAAATTTTAGGTTTTTGGTGTTTCAGTTCTTCGATTTTTTATCTTTCAATTTTTAGAATTTTTGCATTTCAGATTTTTCAGTTTTTTGGTGTTTCGATTTTTCGAGTTCTATTTTTTGGATTTTTCGATTTTTAATTTTTGCATTTATAATTTTTTTTTGATTTTTCTGTTTTTCAATTTATATTTATTAATTTAATTGTTTTCAATTCTCTGATCTTTCGGTTTCTCTCGACATTTTGATTTTTCGGCTTCCGGGTTTCTGAATTTCCGATATTTCAGTTTTGGAATTTTTCAACATTTCGACTCTTAATTGTTTCGACTTTGCGTATCGATTTTTCAATTTTTAGAATTTTTAAATTTTAGGTTTTTTTTATTTGTTGATGTCTTTATTTTTCGACTTTTCAGCTTTTGATTTTTCGGATTTTTAATTTTCCGATTTTGCAATTTTTGATTTTTCGATATTTTATTTTTTCGTCTTTTTAATTTTTCGATTTATTTGAGTTTGGGGACTTTTTTAATATTGGGATTTTCAATTTTTTGAAATTTTAATTTTTGATTTTTTAAATTTTAAACATTGATTTCGTGTTTCGATTTTTCGAGTTCTCGGTTTTTGGATTTTTCTGTTTTTCAATTTTTCCATTTTCAAAATTTTTGATTAATGGATTTTTGTAGTTTTCGATGTCCTCATTTTTCGACTTTCCAGTTTTTGACATTTTAATTTTCGATTTTCTAAATTTTAGATTTTTCGATTTTCCAGTTTTCGATTTTTCTGTTTCAGTTTTTAGAATTTTTAAATTTTCAGATTTTTCAATTTTTTGATATCTTGATTTCATGATCTTTTGATTTTTCAAATTTTCGGTTTTTAAATTTTCACTATTTTAATTTTTCGATTTTTCAATTTATCCATTTTTTGGTTTTATCGAGAATTGGATGTTATGATTTTTCAACTGTTCAATTTTCCGACTTTTCGACTTTTGAATTTTTCGATGTTTTGACTTCGATATTTTGATTTTTCAATTTTTCTGTCCTTCAATTTTTCGATTTTCAGATTTTTCTATTTCTCTTTCGATTCTTCGTTTTCTTGATTTCTCGTTTTTCAATTTTTTCGATTATTCAATTTTTTGACATTTTAAATTTCGATTTTTAAAATTTTAGGTTTTTGATGTTTCAGTTCTTTGATTTTTTATTTTTCAATTTTTAGAATTCTTAAATTTTAGATTTTTAAATTTTTTGGTGTTTCGATTTTTCTAGATCTCGATTTTTCGGTTTTTCAATTTTTTGATTTCTGGATTTATCGGGATTTCGATGTGCTGATTTTTCGACTGTTCGACTTTCCAGATTTTCGACATTTTAATTTTCGATTTTCTAAATTTTAGATTCTCGATTTTCTCTATCTTTGATTTTCCAAGTTCTCGGTTTTGGATTTTTTCATTTTTAAAATGTTTGATTTATGGCATTCAAGTTTTGGCTTTGAAATTTTTGCTCTTTTAATTTTTTGATTTTTCAATTTTTTTAATTTTAGATTAATCGATTTCGATGTGCTGATTTTTCGACTGTTCAATTTCCCGGTTTTTTGACTTTCCAGTTTTTCGATTTTTTAATTTCCAATTTTTGAAATTTTAGTTTTTTTTTGGTTTGTCACTTCGATTTTTCTATTCTTCAATTTTTAGAATTTTTAACTTTTCTGGACTTTTTTGGTTCTTTAATTTTTCACGTTCTTGTTTTTCAGTTTTCATATTTCCGAATACTTTTTCGTTTTTTCATTTTACAATTTTGCAATTTTTCCATTCTTTGATTCGAAAAGTTGAAAAATCGAAAAACTGAAAAATTAGAAAATTGAAGAAGTGGAAAATCGAAAAATTGGAAATCCAAAAACTGAAACATTGAAAAACTAAGAACTAGAAACATAAAAATCAAAAATTTAATGAATGAAAAATGGGAAACAAAAAACAAATCGAAACGAAAAATTGGAAACAACTCGAAAAATTTATACCTGACACCTTTTTTTTTTTTTTCAGAAAAAAATCAACGCCTTGGTGAGCAAAACCCGCCAGTCAGTCACCCCCAACTTCAAAATCAAATCATCTTCGCGAATCCCACTCCCGTCAAGGTAAATCCCCGCCAACGCCCCTTCTCTTCTAACCAATCTAATTCAGATCGGCCGCCCCCACCCGACGAAGTCTATCGGCCACCAAGCCCAAGAAGGACACCCCCGGACGTTCCTGCGCCAGCGCACGACCCGATAGACACCCCAACCCCATGTCCGACTGGGAAAGTACCAACAGCCCCAACGTCGTCGCTGGGCGCTCTTCCAAAAAAACCGACCTGGGAGTGCTGGTCCGAAAATCTCTCTTCCTGAAAAACAAGGGCGACATTTCCTTCAGTAACTCCATTTCGGTGGAAAGGGGCGAACAGAAGTCCTTCATGTTGAAGGTCGACGGGTCCATTTCCCCGAAAAACTCACCCAAGGCGAAAACTCCGTCACCGCGAGGGGTGAAAAGGGGGCGCTCGTCGGTCACTGGCACTGCTAGGGTGAACAAAAGGCGCAAACCGAACAAACAGGTAAGGGTGGATTTTTACGAACATACGGTATATAGTGTAAAAATTGTTTCACAGTTCAGTTTCAACGTGTCGATTTCGGGAGAAAGCGACATTTTCGACGAGTCCACGTCCCCTCTGAGTAGTTCAGAGCAGGACTCCAGTTTTTACGATTCGAGCTTCTATGACTCTCCACGGGCAGTTTCGAGCCCTAGGAAGTCCATCATTGATCTAACTGAAGAGACAAAGGTTCGAAAATCGCCACGTAATGACTTAAGCAACGTTAGCGGAGTTAAGAGACTGTTAAAAACTCCCAAGGTAGAGAAAAGTCCACGCAACGACCTCACGGAAGTCCTAAGAACTCCCAAAGTTCAGAAGTCGCCTTTGAACGACTTAGGTAATGTAAGCGGTGTGGCGAGAATTTTAAGAACACCTGTGACTGACTTAAGTCCAATGAAAACTCCCAAAGTTGAAAAGACGCCGCTGAATGACTTAAGTAGAGTTAGTGGAACGAAGAAGGCTTTGACAAGTCCCAGAGTTCCAAGGTCGTCGAAAAAGAACTTCGGTAATGCGAGCGCTGTTGCAAGGAGTTTGAGAGCGTCTTTGAACGTCGAAAGTCCCGAAGTCCAAAAGTCGCCGGTCGCGAAAACCCCGAAAGTCCAAAAGTCTCCAAAGACTAGCTTGCGTAAAGTTAGTGGAGTGAAGGCTTTAACAAGTCCCAGAGTTTCAAGGTCTTCGAAAAAGGACTTAGGTAATGTGAGCGCTGTTGCAACAAGTTTGAACGTCGAAAGTCCCGAAGTCCAAAAGTCGCCGGTCGCGAAAACCCCGAAAGTCCAAAAGTCTCCAAAGACTAGCTTGCGTAAAGTTAGTGGAGTGAAGGCTTTGACAAGTCCCAGAGTTTCAAGGTCTTCGAAAAAGAACTTCGCTAACGTGAGCGCTGTTGCAACAAGTTTGAACGTCGAAAGTCCCGAAGTCCAAAAGTCGCCGGTCGCGAAAACCCCGAAAGTCCAAAGGTCTCCAATGACTGACTTACGTAAAGTTAGCGGAGTGAAGGCTTTGACAAGTCCCAGAGTTTCAAGGTCTTCGACAAAGAACTTCGCTAATGTGAGCGCTGTTGCAACAAGTTTGAACGTCGAAACTCCCGAAGTCCAAAAGTCGCCGGTCGCGAAAACTCCGAAAGTCCAAAAGTCTCCAACAGCTGCCTTACGTAAAGTTAGCGGAGTGAAGGCTTTGACAAGTCCCAGAGTTTCAAGGTCGTCGAAAAAGAACTTCGGTAACGCGAGCGCTGTTGCAAGGAGTTTGAGAGCGTCTTTGAACGTCGAAACTCCCGAAGTCCAAAAGTCGCCGGTCGCGAAAACCCCGAAAGTCCAAAAGTCTCCAACGGCTGCCTTACGTAGAGTTAGCGGAGTGAAGGCTTTAACAAGTCCCAGAGTTTCAAGGTCTTCGAAAAAGGACTTCGGTAATGTGAGCGCTGTTGCAACAAGTTTGAACGTCGAAAGTCCCGAAGTCCAAAAGTCGCCGGTCGCGAAAACTCCGAAAGTCCAAAAGTCGCCAAACACTAGCTTGCGTAAAGTTAGCGGGGTGAAAAAGATTTTGACAAGTCCCAGAGTACTAAGATCGCCGAAGAACGACCTGAGCGACGTAAGAGGGGTGAAGAACCTTTTGAAAACTCCCAAAGTCCAAAAGTCCCCAAAGAACGACCTAACTGACTTACGAGGCGTGAAGAACTTGCTAAGTCCCAGACCCAGAAAGTCCCCACGTAACGATCTGACCGACGTCCGAGGAGTGAAAAAGCTCCTGAAAACTCCGAAACTTCAAAAGTCGCCGAAGAACGACTTACGCGACATAAAGGGAGTGAAAAAGCTCTTGACAACTCCCAAAGCACAAAATTCCCCAAAAAACGACTTGACAGACGTCAAAGGCGTAAAACAGTTGTTAGCGTCCCCCAAAACACAAAAATCCCCTAAAAACGATCTACTAAACATAAGCGGGGTCGCCAGACTCCTCAAAACGCCGAAAGTCCAAAAATCCCCACGCAACGATTTACGCAACGTCATCGGCGTGAAACAAGTTTTCGCCAACCCGAAACCGCAAAAGTCGCCTATGAACGACTTAAGTAACGTCAGGGGGGTGAAAAACGTGTTTAAAACCCCCCGAGTCGCTCGAACTCCCCGCAACGACTTATCCGACGTGACGGGAGTCAAAACCATGTTCGCCACACCCGCAGTACAAAAATCCCCAGAAAACAACCTGTCAAACGTGAGTGGCGTCTTCAAACTTTTGAAAACACCGAAGCCCCGAAAGTCGCCCTTGAACGACTTGCGACACGTCAGCGGCGTGAAAAAACTGCTCAAAACGCCCGCAGTCCGAAAAAGCCCTCGTAACGACCTTTCGGACGTCCGCGGCGTGAAAAAATTAATGTCGAGTCCGAAAGTCCAAAAGCAGCCTTTGAACGACCTTTCGGACGTCGAAGGGGTGCGCGAATTATTTTCGAGTCCGGCTAGTGTGAAACGCGCGCCGTCGCGCCCCCAGAGAAAGAAGAAATCTGCAGAAATTGACATTTCCGGTAGCGATCTGCCAACGCCAACTTCACTCACGAGGAGTAGGCGTGGCCGAGGCAAAGAGCCAATCACGAGCACTCCCGCGCAGGAAGCGGAAACGAGTCAGAGGCGCACTAGACGGAAGAAATTTACAGAAGGAGAGGTGACACAACCTAACCTCAAAAATCCGGAATCGCTCGAAAACGGCACAGAAGTGCGAAATATGCGAGTGAGGAGGAATAGAAAGGAGGAAACGACCGAAGATGCGTCGGAGGTGAGTGCGGTGGACACCCCACTGAAGAAAACGCGCGGGAAAAAGCGGAAGAGCAGCGCACAGGAAGAGGAAGTACCGCAGAAACGTGCAGCGCGTGGGAGGGGAAGGAAGAACGCGGATGAAGTGGAGGTAGCGAAGAACGAAGAGAGTCAGGAGAAAAATCGGCGCGGACGAGGAGGGAAGAAGAAGAATGACGTGGATGTGAGCGTTGACGATGCGAAGAGTAACGGACAGGAAGAGGAAGTGCCGCAGAAGCGTGCGGGACGTGGCAGGGGGAAGAAGAACGTGGATGAAGTGCAAGAAAAAAAGGAGGAGGAGAAGCCGCGGCGTGGACGAGGGAGGAAGAACGTGGATGAAGTAAACGTGAGTGTGAAAGCGAGTGCCGAGGAAGTGGTTGAAGAAAAAACACAGAAACGGGGCAGGGGGAGGAAGAACGTGGATGAGAACGAGAGCAAGAATGATGTGGAGGTTGTGCAGAAGGCGAGCACGCGAGGGAAAAGGAAGGTGGAGGAAGTGGAGGTGATCGAGAAAACGACGAGGAGTAGAAGAGGCGACGACGTGAATGAGAAAAGTGCAAGTAATAGAGCGAAGAAAAAGAGTGAGTCGATTGAGGATGGTGCAGAAATCACAAATAAAAGAGGGAGGAAGGCGAAGACGGATGTGAAGAAAACGACGGCTAAAAGCAAGGGTGGGGATGCAGTGGAGGACACTAAAGTGGATGTCACTGAAGAGAAAAGTACAAGAACACTTAGAACAAGAAACAGAAAGTAGTTTTATTGTTTTTAACATTTTAGTTTTTCATATGAATAGATTTTATGTGTGTGAGGTTTTGATTAAAATGATTGTTTATTTTGGTGTTTTTTTTTTATTTTGGTGAGACGATTTACAGCTGGTTTCACAAAAAACGGGAAACCAGCTGTATATGATTTTTTGACAGTTGTGGAGTTTTTGACATATTTTTAAACTTTATTGGAAAGCGTTTTGATAATACAGAGACAAAATTTTACTTCCTGAGTGTGTTCTTTTTATTTAATTTTTCAAGTCCTTGATTTCCTTTTGTTAGATTTTGGAAAGTTCATTCTTATTTTTTCGTTTTTTTTATTTCTGATTTTTCCGTTTTATAGTGTTGCAAAATTACAAGCGAAAAAGTGGAAAATCAAAGAATTGAAGAAATGAAAAATTGAAACATTGAAAAACTAAAATTAAGGAACTTAAAAAAAGACGAAGGAGAAAAATGGAAGTAAAAATCTCAAAACCGAAAAATTATAGAATCGTGAAATTGAAAATTCCCCTAACTGAAAGTTTTAAAATAACTGAAAAATGAAAAAATATCTAAAAAAGTGAAAAATATGAAAAAATCTTCGTTAGTGCGTATTTAAAATGAAAATTGAAAAATCGAAAAACTGAAAAATGTAAAATTGAAAATAAATTTTAAAATTGTAACATTGAAAGCTGAAAAATAAAAACCGCAAATTGAAAATTTGAAGAAATGAAAAATTGAAAAATTAAATATCGAGAAAACGTAAATTAAACATCGAAAAATTGAAAATTCGTATAAATGAAAAAGTGAATAATTGTAAAAATTATTTAAATATTACATATGTATTATAAAAACTAGAAAAATTGCATATCAAAAATTGAAAAACTTCCTTTCATTAAAAATGCTTTAAAATCAACAACCGAAAAATGGATAAATTCTAAAATCGTAAATTTGAAAAAGTGAATAATTTTAAAAGTTGTTATTATAAAAATTGAAAAATCGGGAAACTGAAAAACCAAAAATGAAATTTAAAAGTTGAAAAATCGAAAAACTGCAAACCGAAAATTGCAAATCCAAAATCGAAAACTGGTTTTTCAAGAATCGTCCTTTGAAGTATACAAAAAAATGCAAAATACCACCAATTTTTGACCAATTTTCAACGAAATTATCAAAATTTCACTAAATACATTTTCTTGTAAATTTCGACCCGCAGAAGTCATATCCGCTTTCACTTCTTCGATAAATCTAATTGTTTTTCCAGAATCGACCTTTGAAGTTTATAAAAATATGAAAAATACCACCAATTTTCGACCAATTTTCAACGAAATTTTCGAAATTTCACAAAATTCATTTTCTTGTTGATTTCGGGCCGCAGAAGTCATATCCGCTTTCATTTCTTCGACAAATCCAATGGTTTTTCCAGGATCGTCCTTTGAAGTTCACAAAAATATGCAAAATCCGCCCAATTTTCGACCAATTTTCAACAAAATTTTCGAAATTTTACAAAATACATTTTCTTGTTGATTTCGGGCCGTAGAAGTCATATCCGCTTTCACTTCTTCGATAAATCCAATGGTTTTTCCAGAATCGTCCTTTGAAGTTTACAAAAATATGCAAAATACCACCAATTTTCGACCAATTTTCAACGAAATTTTCGAAATTTCATTAAATACATTTTCTTGTAGATTTCGGGCCACGGAAATCATATCCGCTTTCATTTCTTCAACAAATCCAATGGTTTTCCAGAATCGTACTTTGAAATTTACAAAAATATGCAAAATACCACCAATTTTCTACCAATTTTCAACGAAATTTTCGAAATTTCATTAAATACATTTTCTTGTAGATTTCGACCCGCAGAAGTCATGTCCGCTTTAATTTCTTTGATAAATCCAATGGTTTTTCCAGAATCGTCTTTTTGAAGTTTACATAAATATGCAAAATACCACTAAGGAGAAAAATGGAAGTAAAAAATCGCAAAACCGAAAAACTAGAATCGTAAAATTAAAAATTTCCATAATTGAAAAAGTTGTAAAATAACTGAAAAATGAAAAAATACCTAAAAAAGTGAAAATTATGAAAAAATCTTCGTTAGTGCGTATTTAAAATGAAAACTGAAAAATCGAAAAACTGAAAAATGTAAAATTGAAAATAAATTTTAAAATTGTAACATTGAAAGCTGAAAAATAAAAACCGCAAATTGAAAATTTGAAGAAATGAAAAATTAAATATCGAGAAAACGTAAATTAAACATCGAAAAATTGAAAATTCGTATAAATGAAAAAGTTTAAAAATCCAATAATTGAAAAATGGAAAAAGTGAAAATTGTGAAAATGATTTAAGTATTACATATGTATTATAAAAACTAGAAAAATTGTATATCAAAAATTGAAAAACTTCCTTTCATTAAAAAAGCTTTAAAATCAACAATCGAAAAATGGATAAATTCTAAAATCGTAGATTTGAAAAAGTGAATAATTTTAAAAGTTGTTATAAAAATTGAAAAATCGGGAAACTGAAAAACCAAAAATGAAATTTAAAAGTTGAAAAATCGAAAAACTGCAAACCGAAAAATGCAAATACATATTCGAAAACTGTTTTTTCCAGAATCGTCTTTTGAAATTTACAAAAACATGCAAAATACCACCAATTTTTGACCAATTTTCAACCAAATTTTCCAAATTTCACTAAATATGTTTTCTTGTAGATTTCGACCCGCAGAACTGAAATCCGCTTTCATTTCTTCGATAAATCCAATGGTTTTTCCAGAATCATCTTTTGAAGTATACAAAAATATACAAAATACCACCAATTTTCGACCAATTTTCAACAAAATTATCGAAATTTCACTAAAAACATTTTCTTGTAGATTTCGGGCCCCAGAAGTCATATCCGCTTTCACTTCTTCGATAAATCCAATGGTTTTTACAAGCGAAAAAGTGGAAAATCAAAGAATTGAAGAAATGAAAAATTGAAACATTGAAAAACTAAAATTAAGCTGAAAAGGTTGTAAAGTAACTGAAAAATAAAAAAATATCTAAAAAAGTAAAAAATTTGGAAAAATCTTTTCATTATTACATATTTAAAATGAAAATTGAAAAATCGAAAAACTGAAAAATGTAAAATTGAAAATAAATTATAAAATCGGCACCTTGAAAGATTGAAAAATAAAAACAGCAAATTGAAAATTTGAAGAAATGAGAAATTGAAAAATTAAATATCGAGAAAACGTAAATTAAACATCGAAAAATTGAAAATTCGTATAAATGAAAAAGTTTAAAAATCCAATATTTGAAAAATGGAAAAACGAAAATCGTAAAAATTATTTAAGTATTACATATTTATTATAAAAACTAGAAAAATTGCATAACAAAAATTGAAAAACTTCCTTTCATTAAAAAAGCTCTAAAATCAACAACTGAAAAATGGAAAAATTCTAAAATCGTAAATTTGGAAAAGTGAATAATTTTAAAAGCTAAAATTGAAAAATCGGGAAACTGAAAAACCAAAAATGAAATTTAAAAGTTGAAAAATCGAAAAACTGCAAACCGGAAATTGCAAATCCAAAATCGAAAACTGTTTTTTTTTTTTACAAAAAAATGCAAAATACCACCAATTTTCGACCAATTTACCACGAAATTTTCGAATTTCACGAAAAACATTTTTTTTGTAGATTTCGGGCCGCAGAAGTCATATCCGCTTTCACTTCTTCGATAAATCCAATGGTTTTTCCAGGATCGTCCTTTGAAGTTCACAAAAATATGCAAAATCCGCCCAATTTTCGACCAATTTTCAACAAAATTTTTGAAATTTTACAAAATACATTTTCTTGTTGATTTCGGGCCGTAGAAGTCATATCCGCTTTCACTTCTTCGATAAATCCAATGGTCTTTCCAGAATCGTCCTTTGAAGTTTACAAAAATATGCAAAATACCACCAATTTTCGACCAATTTTCAACAAAATTTTCGAAATTTCACTAAATACATTTTCTTGTTGATTTCGGGCCGCAGAAGTCATATCCGCTTTCATTTCCTCGAAAAATCCAACGGTTTTTCCAGAATCGTCCCTTGAAGTATACAAAAATATGCAAAATACCATCAATTTTCGACCAATTTTCAACGAAATTTTCGAAATTTCACTAAATGCATTTTCTTGTAGATTTCGGGCCACAGAAATCATATCCGCTTTCATTTCTTTAACAAATCCAATGGCTTTTCCAGAATCGTAGTTTGAAATTTACAAAAATATGCAAAATACCACCAATTTTCGACCAATTTTCAACAAAATTTTTTGAAATTTCACTAAACACATTTTCTTGTAGTTTTCGGGCCGCAGAAATCATATCTGCTTTCATTTCTTCGACAAATCCAATGGTTTTTCCAGAATCGTTCTTTGAAGTTTACAAAAATATGCGAAATATCACCAACTTTCCACCAATTTTCAACGAAATTTTCGAAATTTCACTAAACACATTTTCTTGTTGATTTCGGGCCGCAGAAGTCATATCCGCTTTCATTTCTTCGATTAATCCAATGGTTTTTCCAGAATCGTTTTTTGAACTATACAAAAATATGCAAAACACCTCTAATTTTCGACCAACTTTCAACGAAATTTTCGAAATTTTACTAAAAACATTTTCTTGTAGATTTCGGGCCGCAGAAGTCATATCCGCTTTCACTTCTTCGATAAATCCAATGGTTTTTCCCGAATAGTCCTTTGAAGTTTACAAAAATATGCAAAATACCACCAATTTTCGACCAATTTTCAACAAAATGTTCGAAATTTCACTAAATACATTTTTTTTGTAGATTTCGGGCCGCAGAAGTCATATCCGCTTTCACTTCTTCGATAAATCCAATGGTTTTTCCAGGATCGTCCTTTGAAGTTCACAAAAATATGCAAAATCCGCCCAATTTTCGACCAATTTTCAACAAAATTTTTGAAATTTTACAAAATACATTTTCTTGTTGATTTCGGGCCGTAGAAGTCATATCCGCTTTCACTTCTTCGATAAATCCAATGGTCTTTCCAGAATCGTCCTTTGAAGTTTACAAAAATATGCAAAATACCACCAATTTTCGACCAATTTTCAAC